AGGAAGGAAGGAAGGAAGGAAGGAAGGAAGGAAGGAAGGAAGGAAGGGGAAAACAACTCTAAAGTAGAAGGCAAGGCTGAAGTCAGATTTTCCAAAGCTACTTCTGAAATAGCTCAGCAACTATGTCTAATAGTCAGGGTTTTTTTTTTTTTAGGGTACTGAACTTCCTCTGCCCATGTTATTGCTTTTTGATTCACATCTGGCACTGAATGCACAACAGCCAAATGGTGAAATTATTTCAAAGTGTACAACTAGCTTATATTGGATAAAGGAGGGAAGGAATTGATGTAAATGGGGCAGATGACATGACCCTGATCTGGCAGTAACTTAAATGGGAGAAAGAATCTTTAGATTACAACCAGGAAATTCTCTTGAAGAGGAATGGGAAGAACAAGCATAAGATTGTTTTCTTCTTCTGCAAGATGTTCTTTTAAGCATGAGGTCCTGACATTCTTCTATATGACATTGTTTCAGGTGTTATATTCCCCCTTCAACCTTCTCCAGACTAAACATTTCTTTAGTCTCAATGATTATTCTGATAATTTGCACTTTTATTCTGTTTTCTTGTTCCATTTTGCTTCAATGTATCCTAAAACGGTACCGAGAACTAAACAATACTTGAGTTGGGATTTGACTAACACAGATTAAAATGAAATAATTATTTCTCATAATTAGGAAACTATACTTTTCAGGATGCAATTTGAAACCTAACATTACATTTATTGTTTTTTTGAAGCTTCTTCATATAACTGACTTGTACTTGGATTTAATTGAACAAATATTTGAAGAACTTTTTTGATGTGTAATATTATCAAACAAGATATCCTCCATCTTAACTTTTGATTTCTTTTTCCTCAGTGAAGAGCTTTAATTTTGCTGTTAAATTTAATTCAACCAGTTTTATCAAGACAGTTTAAAATTTTGTTTTCTAGGAAACTAATTGTTCTATCTAACTTTACGTAATTTACACATTTGATAATCATTCCTACCTTCTCTTGATACAAGTCATTAATAAAAATCTTGAGTACAGAACTCAGAGCTGAAACTTGTGGTGTCCCACCTAGTACTGCATTCTAATTTGATGATGAATCACTGATGAGATTCTCCGATTATAATTTTAAAGCCAGATATGAATACATTTAATTTTCATGCCATCCATCGTACACATGATCATTAACCAACATATGATGGCACACTATGTAAATGTTTTACTGAAGTAAAGCTATAACATTCCCATTATTTATTTAAAAAGTTACTCAATCAAAAATGAGATTAAATCTTTTCTTTTTTTGACATATCTGTGTTCACCTTGACTAATAATGTTGTTTTCAAAGTGAATACAAATGAATCTTTTTATTATTTACTCTCGTGCCTTTCCATATATTGATGTTAGACTCACTGCTCTATAGTTTCCTCAATCTCCTCTTTTCCTGTTTTTGAAGACAGAAAATATTTGCCTTCTTCTAGACATTTGATTGTTTTTGCTATGCTATTTGGTTGTTTTGGTTTACTGTTAACTTAACCTTTTTTGTTCGATACTACCCAGAGTCATATTGTTTTCGTTGGGTGGTCTTATAAATCCAGTAAACTAAACTAAACTAAATTAAACTAAACTAAACTGGCAGGCATTTTATCCTTGCTGGGGATTTTCCAGTGGCTAATGTATAATTTAGCCAAGCCATTAACAAATTCTTTCACCACTTAAGATGTGATTCATCTGGTCCTGGATATTTAATTTTTTTCAAGGAAAATGAGAAATATACTGATAATTGCCGAGAAACAGGCTGATGATAGCATCCACCAAGTAAACAGAAACATTGTCAGTCTGTCTTCAATCTTGCCCCTTCAAGCTATTGTTTAAAAGAGATCTTACTATAACTTCTTATCAGAGAACCGTAAGCTATAATAGGAATCAAATGTTGCTCTTTATCAATTTAGAATTTTGCCATCTTCACTGAGAATCTATCTGATCTTCTACTTTATTTCTCTTCTATTTCTTTTCAACACATCTGAAGAAGAGCTCTTGGAAAAAAGATGTTTACCATATTCTGGCATATTCAGCTCATTTTATTTTTTTCCTTTTCAGCTACATTTACCTTTCTTGATACTTTGTGATCAGCTTCCTTTTTAATTATTGTTTAAAATGTTCATTATCAGTCTCACCTTACATGATAAGTGTCTAGTTCAGGATGGTACCCAAGCAAAGACAAGCATTGACACATGATATTCCCCCCTCCCAAATTTCTCTCTAGCAATCTGTTTGGCAAGAAACAAGTACTAAAACTCAGGGCCCTGTTCAAGGAGACAATAAATAATTAACTTAGTTAAATTGTACCAATTTTATTTTGAATTCTACTTGTATGTATCAAGCTCTTTGTGGCTGGCAAACTGAAGACGCAAAGACCAAGGTGGATTTCTGGAATGATCTTTATTGCTCGTAGGGCAATATAACAGAATCTTGAAAGCCTTCAAAAACATCTTTCAAAATCAATTTTTTCTAGGGTAATTAAAAAATGATTACTATGAACCTCTTCTCAGGCTTTTATCCTCTCATCTCATGGGGTAAAGAATCTTTTCTGCAACAATTCTGCTTTCTTTTCCCATTTTCCCATGAAATATGAGACATTCTATCAGTTTGTGATTGCTTCTATACAGAGGTGGTATTCAGCAGGTCCTGACCAGTTCTGGAGAACCAGTAGCGGAAATTTTGAGTAGTTCAGAGAACTGGCAAATACCACCTCTGAGTGGAGATTTTACAGTATC